GATCTGACTTAGTCATAATTAGGATTCAATATTTTTCAATCCATTCCTTTAATCCGATAGGTTAGGTTTAAGCGTTTTGAGCTAAACCATCCCTAATATGTCACCGTCTCATACCGGTGCATACAATCCTCCATATCCTTGTAAATTACAACACATGCATAATAAGTTAGTAATTTACAATCCAAACCATTATCCATATCATTGCAGAAAAGTATTTAAAATTTCAGCAATATACATACCAGCATTAATTCATGTAATTGCACTAGAGAATTTGATATTCCAACAATTAACATCCAGAGCATGCATAGTTCAAACTTTAAACATAAAATGATCTATCATGCATCCAAATATAAGATTTATAATCTTACCCAAAATTTAACTAAGCAATTTAGTTCTTTCCATCCCTTATCAGTATGCTAAGCTGTAAGCTTTTATACTGATTCATCCTTTAAATAATTTATAAAATTATTTTCAAATCCATTTTGTCCAATTCCTTAGGCCTAAGAGATGTATTATACACTTTAGAACCTTCCCTAGTCCATTTAACCCATTTGATTTAATTAAAATAGGTTTTAAAATAAATATGGGCGTTTGAAGCCAAAAATCCCAACTCAGCCGCCTAAGTTACAACTAAGCAGCCTAAGTTTCCAACTCTGCCCCCTAAGTTACCAACTCAGCCCCCTAAGTTAGTGCGGAGGTCGTCTTCATCGTCTATTTAGCCTTTGTAAACCCTAAAACTCCATTGTTAAGGTCTCCAAACTTCAACCTATATCCCATACATCTATAATAAATTATTTAAAATGATTTTGCAGATAAAGATTCAAATTAAACCACAATTCATGCATAAAGATCTAAGAAATAAAGAAATCATGAAGAAGCATATAAAATCCGAAACTCTCTGTTTTAATCCAATTAAACATGCATGATTATTATGTTTTTAGCATTAATTAAGCTCCTGGAGTCTAGCTAGGCATGCACAGAACTCAAATTAAAGGGAAAGAGAAGAACAGAAACTTGCCTTTGAGTTTCAGATTTTAAACTCTAATCCACGTCTCTGAACTTTCCGTCAATGTCCTAGGCTGTAGTTCTATACCTCCAGTGCTTTGGTTCCACCTAGAAACAACCACGTCCTCCTTGAATTGCTTTGTTAATTACCCAAGTTCCACTCTCGGTTCCTCTCTGTCTCTCACAACCTTACTCTGTTTTCTCTCAATATACTAAGTACGTGAATAGGGTTTTCTCTAACCCTAGCAGACTTGTACAAGCTTATATATAAGCCCCAATAAAAACCTAATCCTAATCCCAAGCTAATTAAAAGTCGGCTATACAAAAACGTGATATCTAAAATAAAACACTAAAACAATTAAAACATTTAATTCATCTAAATTAAATAAAGAATATAATAAACCATTAACTAAAAAAAAAAAAAAAAAAAAAACACATAATTTAATTAAATAACATAAATACCATTAAGCAAATAAATTATTCAATTAACTAACACAATTAACACAATTCACTCAACTAAGAAAAAAAATAAGCAAATACACAATTAAACAATTAAAACAAAACAATTAAACAATTAAAAATACAATTAAACAATTAATTAAATACCAGGACTATCCTTTTAAACTTAGGGGTATTACACAAGTCTTGCTCCTACCTTGACCTATGTTGCTGAGAAGGTTATTGGAATGCTGCCGTGAGGACATGGTATTCATTAGTTGATGCTGTTATTGCTGTTGAAAAGGTTGTAGTTTAATTGGCTAGTATAGCTTTTGAATATTTTGCTTGTAGCAGATCAAAATTTGTATAGGTTATTTCCTCTTTGTTGTTGGTCTTTGTTGTATCTTCCCCATCTGGAGTCTCACTGTAAATTTTTTCATCTTTTTATACGAGCTTACCTTTAACGAAAAAAAAGTTTAGTCAGAATTCATCTTTTTTTTACTTTATGGTAACTTTACATCAATTTTATTTAAGATTGATCACTAAAACCTAATTTTTTCTATGTATTAATATATATTAAACTAAAGTTATATGTATAAATTAAAAACTTAATAAACACGAATTTAACTCCAAAGTCAGTTTTTATATTCTCTCACTGGACCAATTCAGTGAGAATTTTTTTTTCCGTGTCTAAGAAGGCTCTATCTCGACTTTTTAGATGACTAGTTCTGATTAGTCTGACTAAGTAATAATTCAGATAATATTAATTGATTGATTCTCTCCCTCGTTTACGCGTCAAATTAAGTAATACTCCGTATCCATTTGAGGTGGAAAAAACAAGACCAATCCAAACTTACAACATCATTTGGCTTATTGAATGTAATAATTCTGACAAAAGAAAATAAAAAATATATATTCAACAAAAATCTGATGTGTAGATGGATAGGGCTAAATCTAATCAGTTTAAACAAACAATTTAAGTAATATACGCACCAAACTCCAAGAAAAGTCCATTGTGAGAGTGAGATACCAAGCCATTGACAATAATAGAATAGCACGTGATTTTGCAATGCCATCTTTTATGGCTAAAATTCTCTTACAGATTAAATGACCCAAAAAAAAATTTCAACAAAAATCTAATCAGTTTACATAAGCAATTTAAGTAATATTGACTATTTTCCCACACGTTTATGCACCAAATTCCAAGAAAAGTCCATTGTGAGGTGAGAACGTAGGACCAAGCCATTGACAATAATAGAAGTGTTCGTTATTTTATAATTAGACCTATCAAGATATTAGATTTGTACTGAATTATGGTTGATGGAACAAATCCGATAAAACAAAGGAGATCAAAATTAGGGTAAAAAAGGAGAGAGATTGAGATGGGTTCGGTAAGAAAGAACTAAAGTCTCCATAAACCAGAAAAAAGAGAGGAGGATAAAATAAGAAAAATCTGAGATAACTTTAGCTTTGAAATATAAAAAATTAGGGCTAGTAAAATTGTAATACTACGTGAAAAAAAAAAAAAAAAAAAAAAAAAGAAGGAAAAATAGAAGACAAAGGAAAGAATAAATAATATGACTTTCCTTCACCTCTCTCTCTCTCTCTCTCTGTCTCTCTCTGGAAGCATGATTTACTTGCCCACTTCTTACGTCTTTAATTGGGTGGGAACACTTTAGTATTGTAAATATAATATTGTGATTAGATTTTTTGATCTCATGATTTACATTTATACAAACTTGATTTGATTGTTGATATATATATATATATATATATATATATACAAATATATTTTATTTTAATCGGATCGAATTATTAACGGATTGGATTAACTCAAATTCATGTCCGGTTTGTTAAGCTAACAGCTTATTGAATTTGGATTATAATCGAATTATCAAATATAGATCATAATTAGATTTTTTATTTAATTCATATCAGACTAAACAGATTGGATTCGGATTGAAATCCGATTTATTGTAATGCCATATTTTAGGGCTAAAATTTCAAGTGGTCCAGGACCTACGAAGGCCCATAATTAGAACCCAACAAAATATACAATGAACCACAATTACAAATGTCCATGAGCAAACCGAAGAAAACATACAATGAACCACAATTACAAATGTCCATGAGCAAAGCATAAATTATGGTGGACTAACCCTAACCCAACCATGATTGAGAGACTAACCCCCACTCCCCCATCTTTTTATATCCAACCACCACATGTTCTCGACACGTGTCTGGTACAATGGCTAAAATTAAGCTTTCATTGACAATCCAAATGTTACAGTCAGTTATTAAGCAATTGTCTAGCAACCACAATGTAAATTTGGGCCTTATTCCTTGCAAAATTAGAAACAGAACAAGATTGAATCCGTAAGTATTCCTCAGTAACCATCTCACTTTTTGAACATGACCAATATTTTATTATTAAAACAAAGCAAAGAGGTTTTCTTACAAACTTTCATTAAATAATCATATATGAGAGCAAAAAACTTGCAATAAAAAGAAAAAGAAAAAGAAAAAAAAAAGAGATCATTATACAACAAAATTAGGGCACGCTAAATAATCGTGATTTAGAAGGAAAGAAAAATAATAATAAAAAAAAGAAGGAAAAAAATAATTTAATATGTAAGAAATGGGTAATGCCCATTTCTTTAAATATATATATTTTAATTATATTAGACCACAGTAACTGAAGGATAAACTTCATCCTTGTAAAAGAGAAGACCCAAATATTGTCCTTGTAGTATTTAATTTAATGCTTATTTAGATCATTTAACCAAATGAAGATCGAGCAACGATCCCAAGATAACTAGTGAGTTTATTGTATATAAGGAAACTTGTCTAAACACCGATTTGTGATAGAATTTTTTATTTTATTTTTTCATCATTCGAAACAATAAAGACATGCATTTCATTGAATAATTTTTAAAGACCAAGTTCATGACTTTGCAAATCATTTCACTTATTAATTCTTTATAGGATTCACGTTTGGTGGGTACTAATTAAACAAGTTTATATGACTTATTAAAAAGGTTTAATTATGAAAATTTCGTGTTTCTTGGAATATAGCTAGGAATATAGCTATTAGGTGGAACTAACAACCTAATTTATTTATAACATTCTTCACCATCCGAATTCGCAACGGGCCACCTTGCCTACTCAGGATGATGCACCCGAACACATTCATGCAGAGCGCTTGGCGTGGCATGCGGGATCAAAGACTAAGTATAACTCTGATATCAACTTAAGTTGAGACTAACACATAACCTATTTATACTCATTTCACTTCCCAACCAAACGGACAAGTCTCCTCTTTTAACCATCGCCATGCATGGCATGCTTTAAATGTAAATGGGAGTAATTAAATTGAAAACAGTATATGTGTACAGAGCCCAAGAGGAATTGGGCTTGAAGTGAAATGGGTAAATGCCAGAACCAAAGCGAATTCGCTACAACAAAAGCAAGGGATAGCCCAAAGTCCCAGACCAAAGTGAATGGAAATATTAACAGCAGCCCATTACAAGAGAACACATTTCAACAAGAGGAATTAATTGGGTTTGAAGTGAATGAATTTTTATCTTTATTTTCTTTTCAAGTAATTGCATGAGAAGCTTATTGTTACAGACAAAAGATGCGCATGATAAAAAAAAAAAAAAATACAAATATTGATGTCTAACTTCGATGGAACAAAATCAAGACAATCAAAGCTCTAATAATTAAGAAGTAAAATTTATGAATGGAAATAAATACTAAGACTTATTGATTCAAGAATCAAGCTCAATCTTAATACCACCAATGGTAACTAGACCTTTTCCATTCCTGGGCACCAAAGTCACAATCACCTCATCATCATCTTCAGCTCCCAAATCCTCCAGCAACTCACTTATCCCCAACCTCAAGCGAGTATTTGTCTTCTTCTTCGAATGCTTATGATGCTTATGCGGCACATTCACAAAACTCCCCGCAAACTCAGTCTTGTCTGGCCTTACTCTGTTATCGTCATCTTCGTCGTTAATATAAACATCAAACTTCACAAACACATCTCTATCCAACTCTATTCCTTCTATCACCAACACCTCCTCCTCTTCTTCTATATCTTTCTTGCTCCTCGACTTTTTCGGCCTCGGAACCAAAACCCTCACCGCTCTGTTTAGAGTCGTCGGAAAAACATCCCTAACACTAGATGTCTCCGCCGCATTTGCCACTCCAGCCTTGCTTTGCTTTTTGGTAGCGTTCTTAGCACTAGGCGTTGGCCGATTGTTCAGCCATGGAATCTCCACATCTTGGTAAACGTATCCCAGATTCTTCGTGTCCAGACAATCTCGAACCTTGACGCGTACAGCCTGAGCATTTTCGTCGTAAAAGAGAAACTCCGCGTTCAACCAGTCTGGATCTGTGAAGTCCTGACGTTTTCCTCCCAGGGTTTTCCACACCGACCATAGCCGGTCAACATTGGAATGATGACAGAAGAATATAGGGTCTCTTGCGGCGGAGTAGAAGTTTCCCATATCCTCTCCATTAGGCTGGGATCGGTCACCGGTCCATATATGCACCGGACCGTGTGGGATGTTCTCGACCGAGCCACCTCCGGGGTCAGCATCATCACCGGCACGGTAAGGGCTGCCGAGGAAAAGCCGGGTGGTCCTGGCATTGGAAACCATTTGACGGTACATGATGGTGAGATTGCTTGACATTTGTTGTTGACTACTTATTTTCTCATCAGTGCCGTTGAAATCAAGATCAATGGTGGTTGGTGGCTGGTGTTTTGGGTCACGGAGAGGATCATAGAGTGGTGATTTAGAGTTAGCATAAAAAGCTGGCAATTGCATGCCACCAGGAGCATCATAATTCCAAAATGGCAAAGCGAAAGTGGGGTCATCGATCAATTTACCCAAGATCTTTTCATAAAAGTAGAGGTAGTATCTATGGAAAGGAAAGAAGAGCCATGAGTTGTGTACTTGAATATCAAGATTCGGAAACCCAACTTGATCGTAAGCACCATCACAATAAGCGCAATGAACATTAGCTTGTTGGATGAAATTACGTGGATCATCTGCAGGAAGGGCTTTCATGAGCTCAATGGCCTTGGTATACTTGGCTATGTATTCCTTGTCCGCCAAATGAGCAGCCGGCCTAACGCGCATGGCGTTAGATGGCGGTGGAAGCTTGAAATTCACAATTTTTGTGGTAGCTGGAGGGCAGCAATTTATGGGTTTTGCACCGGTAGGCAAGTCGGCCGCGCCACATTTTGTTATGTCGGGTGCTGTCACCGGATCAGCGTATGCTAGGGGATCAGCAGCACTGAATGTCGCCGCACCGTAGAGCCCTCCAAGCCCTATAAGCACATTTCTCCTATCAAACTTCCCTAGAGAAGCTTCAGTACCATTTTTGGAGCTAGTGCTAGGGTTCTGGTCACCATCTTTGGCTTTGCATGACACTTTAGTGGGACGTCGATATTTTGTTATTGAGATTTGAGACTTCTTGGCAAAGAATGGGGAAGATGGAAAGGCGGAGGTGGTGGTGGTGGTGGTGGAGGAGGCGTAGGCTGTGGTTGGAGGGGGAAGAGAAGCCATTGGCTTGTTTGGTGTTGTGTTAGGTAAAATACCATTGTATATATAATGTACTGCCCAAGACTTTTCTTTGGATGATACCTTGGATTTCGTTGACGAAATTGAACAAGTATAAACATCACGTGGAGAAAGCGTAGTTGAACATATGAACGAAAAAATGCTTTTGAAGTTTGATGCATGAACAGCTACACATAATTGAATTTTAAACTCAATTTTCTCACAATCCAACATCTATTAATAGCAATATTTTTTGTTGACGGGTACCTAATTCTTTGAATAATGATTCTTAAATGATTTAAATAAATTTTCTTTCACATATATAACAGTAATATATTGTAAGGTAACCGACAATTTCATCTTGTTTTATGACATATTCTAAAAAATTTCTCGCTTAGATAGGGTTGTTTTGGTGATTTTGTCAACTACTTCTTTTCTTCACAAATCCATCTTTGTATCAATCTTGGATAAAACATCAATTAGTTTTACAAGTCAAAGAGATTATTTTTTACTCCATCTCTAGCAGCTCAGGTTCTTCAAAAATTCAAAAAGTTTGGTGTGTTCTCATTGCTTCGTCACCAGAATAATTTTATTGAACTGGGACACAATTTTTCATTCTCCTCTATTATTTAGCCCTGAAAAATGTAAAATTTTCTTTTCTCAGTAAGTAGAGAAACTATAATTTTCTTCTAGTCGAATACACCAAACTAAAAGAATGAGATCGCTAGTTGATTGTTTTGCTTAATAACGTTCCTTTGTCTTCTAACTTTTTCTTTCGAATACACCAAAATAAGAATTCTTTTTATTTTTTATCATACTGTATATGAGTTTATATGAGAAAATATGTGTGTGAGTGAATTGTTATGGCATGCATGTTGGATTATTTAATTGGGATTGGAATTAGAGATAGGTGTCGGGTGATGGATCTGAATCTAAGTGTATATTAAATAGGGTTTGATTAAGGTTCGTTAGAATTAAAAGCATTGCCAACCCACTTCAGACGTTGTCTTATTGTTATTTATGTGGGCCATATGTGTGTATTGGGTCAAATTTACTGGAGAGTTAGGTTTCGACCTTACACATGCTTCCACTGTTTAATTAAGGAAATCCAACCACAAGGTAATGGTAGTGGTTGACTAAGTGTGTTAAATAATAATACTCCACCTAATAAATTAACTTCATATTTTTATATATATAGCCTAGGGCAAACAATAAGAGCTGATTTCGGTTCACTGTCTGCCAAAAACACGTGATCCTCAATTTACTCACCTACATGATCCCTCAGATGGATTTTCTCTCATTATTTTTTTCATGCAAATCGAGTTAACTTTCATATATATATATACACACGCACACACACACTTTTCATACATTAACATAAATAAAATTGTTGACTCTAAAAAATTTTGAAGGTCGGCCACCACTCTGCACGTTATATCCCATTATCAAACCAGTGGTTGGAAAAAGAGAGAAAAAAGAAAAGAAAAGAAAAATGTGTGTGTATATATATATACACACATTTATAATTATACTCACAGAAAAGAGTAAAACCATTTATTAAAACAATACTCACAAGAGTGATGAACTCTTTATATTTGATTGTTAAGTATAAACTGTACTTTTTTCGAAGTGTGAAAAATTAAATAAATTATTTAATACATCTATTAATTTAACTAAAGTCTTATAACATTACTCTAGCTAAAATGACTCCAATATGTTTGGTCAACTAAGCAATCTTATTACGATAAATATTAGCTAATTAATTTAACCGAAATTTCCTAGCTTGTTTCTAAGCAACTTTCAATTAGTGAAAGAAGAAAAAAGGAAAAGAGCTTGAGAAGTTTTACAAGCAACCATGGTATACTGTAGTATAAGCACGTCCACGCACGCACATATAACATCTATATATATATATATATATATATATATATATATATATATATATATATATATAGATGTTATATTCTTGACAAGGAAGAACTAAGATTGGTGCATTTATTTTTACATATTCATTAGTATCAGTCCAAAATATATATATCAAAGTTATTGAAACCAGTACACCGAGGTATGGATTTCTATTTTCTGGTCAAGACAAGAATTTTTGGTCCTTTGAATTGATCAACTTTTAACATTACGTAAAGGTGTTTACTTGCTTATTGTTTTCAAACCAAAATATGATCGAGACGTGCTTCTTAGCTCTATATATTCAACTGATGTATATATATATATATATATATGTCAACACTGCGTATTTAAATTTGTTTACACCAACAGTTGTTTTCAGTTTTCACAATACAATAATTTAGACATCCAATTTTTAAATATCTTTTCCAATAAGAACGCATCTTTAATTATTTATTTTCATTAAACTTATATATGGATAACCTTAGATGGAAATGGTTTTAATACAAGCTAAACTTTTTTGAAAATGATGTGATAACATTTTTTAAATTAACAAGCGTGTTTGTAGGCTTTATTTTAAATAATTAGAACTTAAGAAACACTGATATTTCTCTAAGGTGCCGTGCTTGTGCCCGACATCGTGTCGGACATTGACGCCCGTGAACACTCCTAAATTCGTGTCCGACACTTTATGTTCGTGTCCATTAATTATTTAAAAATAAATTTTTTTATTTTCAACTGATGTCACTGCTTAACTTTCAACTGATGCCACTGCTTAACTTTCATCTTATATATATATATATATATATGTCAACACTGCGTATTTAAATTTGTTTACACGAACACTTGTTTTCAGTTTTCACATTACAATAATTTAGACATCCAATTTTCAAATATCTTTTCCGATAAAGATGCATCTTTAATTATTCATTTTCATTAAACTTATATAGGGATAACCTTAGATGGAAATAGTTTTAATACAAGCTCAACTTCTTTGAAAATGATGTGATAATATTTTTTTGAATTGACAAGCGTGTTTGTAAGTTTTATTTTAAATAATTAAAACCTAAGAAACACTTATACTTCTATAAGGTGTCGTGTTCGTACCCGACATCGTGTCGGACACCGAAGCCCCGTGAACACTCTTAAATTCGTGTCCGACACGTCATAGCAGTGTCCATTATTTAAAAATAAATAAATAAATAATTTTATCTTGTGTGTGTGTCAACACAGCGTATTTAAGTTTGTTCACACCTTTAGACATCCAATTTTCAAATATCTTTTCCGATATTCATTTTCTTTAAACTTATATAGAAAATAATGTGACAAGCGCGTTTGTAAGCTTTATTTTAAATAATTAGAACCTAAGAAGCACTAATACTTCTATAAGGTGCCGTGTTTGTGCCTAACATTTTGTCAGACATTGACACCCCGTAAACACTCCTAAATTCATGTCCGACACTTCATGGCCGTGTCCATTATTTAAAAATATATATATTTTTATTTTCAACCGATGCTATTGCGTATTTAAGTTTGTTTACTGCAATATATATATATATGTCAACACGGCGTATTTAAGTTTGTTTACACCAACAGTTGTTTTCAGTTTTCACAATACATGTAATAATTTAGACATCCAATTTTCAAATATCTTTTCCGATAAGGACGCATCTTTAATTATTCATTTTCATTAAACTTATATATATAGATAACCTTAGATGGAAATGGTTTCAATACGAGTTAAACTTCTTTGAGAATGATGTGATAACATTTTTTAAATTGACAAGAGTGTTTGAAGGCTTTATTTTAAATAAGTAGAACTTAAGAAGCTCTAATACTTCTATAAGTTGCCGTAATTGTGCCCGACATCATGTTGGACACCGATGCCCCGTGAACATTCCTAAATTCGTGTCCAACACTTCATGGCCATGTTCATTATTTAAAAATATATATATATTTTTTTAAACACTTGGCCAACACATCTTCGACACTCGGCAGATACATTCCGAACACTTGATTAACATATCCTACCCTTTTGTCTTATATAAAACAAACACAAAACGACATTATAAACATGCGTGGCAATGTTCAACCTCTAAAGAACAAAAACATAGCTATAATGAGAGTAGTAATGCCATATATGATATAACGTATTCTTGTTGACATTCAAATAACATCATCTTTCAACTTATGTAACTTTAGTATAGAATTTTATAAGTTAATTAAAGTTCTATATTTGCCTTTTCAATAGACATATAAATGAAAATTTATATTGGTACGTATTAATCGGGTCCACGCCATGTTCATATCCTACTGTTTGACGTGTTTGTGTTATATCATTTCCGTGTTCGTATCTTGAAACAAAGATGAATCATGTCATTTTTTGTGATTTTCTTTTTACACTTAATTGGGTATATTATTCTATTTAATTATCTGTTTAATCAATTTAACAATTAAAGTTCTATAATTGCCTTTTCAATAAACATATAAATGAAAATTTATATTGGTATTAGTCGGGTCCATGCCATGATCGTAACCTACTATTTTAGAATTTGACATATTTGTGTTATATCATTTCCGTGTTTCGTGTCAGTATCTTGAAACCAAAATGAATCATGTTATTTTTTGTGATTTTCTTTTTACACTTAATTGGGTATATTATTCTATTTAATTATCCTTATAATCAATTTAACATATATATAGTTACGGATGGCTGGGATGGAATTACTTGGGCATCCTTATTCCAAACCCACGTCGCCCTACTTTGCATAATTCTGATAATAAATATAAAATAGAATACTTGTCTTGTAAAATATACTTTAATGAATTATGAGGATATAACAAGCATCATCTTCAGACAAATTCAGTGAAATAAAAAGAAAAAGAAAATTAAAGTGAAATACCCAACTGAATAAGCAATTCAATATAACCAATACATATTGAAGACATGATATCGCATGAATTTTATATGATAAATAACATCTATTGATTAATTTGAATGTGTATTGTTTGGTCGTGTCACAATTTTTTTTCTCCGGAAAGTAAGGAATAGTGCAAAATTTGATGTTTCATATCGTCTTTGTATAGCATTGACCAATGACTTTTATACACGCGTTTTGGAAAATGTCAGCTCCATACAATTTGGTTGTGGCACCCACTTGGTCACAGACAGTCCTGAATACATGGGCTCATAAGACCAATTAATAGTGTCTTGTGGGCTTTTGAGTTTGGTTATGATATAGTCCTAGATATATGGGCTCATAAAACCAATATTAATAGTCTGTAATGGGCTTTTGAGTTTGTTCTGATGATATAGATTGTAATAAGGCAGTCCTAAATATATGGGCTCATAAAACCAATTGGGTTCTGACTTTTGAGTTTGTTTTGATTTTATGGATCATAGTTATGTGGCCCATTTAGGCAACATTGGATATCTTCAGTTTGATCTGATACAAAAGTTGGTTGTAGTCCATTTTCCAATGGCAAATGTAGAATTCGGTTTTTCTTTTTCTTTTTCTTTTTCTTTTCTTTTCTTTTTTGAGAAAAATAGAGTAATGTAAAACAAAGGCATCCATATACCAAATAAGGCTTCATTTTAAGATTAGATAAACTCTGAATATGAACAGTAATTTTTACCCTAAAACCATCAATTTTTACATAATTAGAACCGAAACATGGACCGTGAAGATCATTTTTATCCTAAAACCATCAATTTTTACATAATTAGATCCGAAACATGAACCGTGGCAGTTTAACTAAATGATGATTAATCTACCATGATTTGGCAGCCATGTTACTGAGAAATTATAGTTTGACAGCAATGTTGTTCATGGTTTATGTTGTGTCCAGTTTGTGTGTTCGGAATTTAGACATTTGCAATCGGTATATTATAGTTTTAATTTTTGTTCCTTAGGGCAAATATGCTTTACTATTTCCTCTAATTTAATGCAAAAGTTTTGAATGTGGTTCTGAACGGTTGCCATTGTGTTCTTTTCATGGTTGTCCACCATACACTCCTACAACTATTTTATTTGTGGCCAGAAAAATGTCATTTTCCTATCCTTTTCAATCAACCATCTTGAATTAAAAGCGTGATTTGGCCATCTCATGAAATGTGTTGTTGAGCTATTTAATGTGCTTTCCCAATTTTTAAGTTGTTACTTATGACATCTAACATGTATTTTTTTTATAAAACTTAAACTTAAACAACTCTAAGAGCATCTCCAGCGAAATGTTAAAAAAATTTTTATGTAAAATATATACTGCCACATATGATTTGTAAATTTTTTTCATCTCCAACATTCTGTTAAAATACATTGCCACATCACTAATGTGTAAAAGGATTGTGTATTTTACACAGTACTTTTACACTGCCATGTAAACATATTTTCTCTCTCCCCCTTTCCCACTCACAGTTCTCTTTCTTCTCTCTCATTCCTTTACGCCTCTTTGTTTCCCACTTTTCTAGAATGCAATAGAGAAGAATCTGTAATTAGAAGTAAGGTAAGAACTAGTCGACCATCTTTTATTTATTTATATATATTTTTAATAAATATAGTTTGATTCATCACTTTCGTTTGATTTTTATTTTCTGCAATCATACTGTAGATTCTATGGTTTTTTTTAGATTTTTTATCCTTTTACATTCTATTCTAATGACATAAATATGTACTAGCCAAAGATTATATATATATTTTAATCACGTAATTTTTACATTCTTGAATCTTATTTTTATTATTTGTTATAAGTTTTCGTTGGCAATGGCGTGAAAGGTTTGCTATTGGCGGGATGAGAAAGTGAAATATAGAGGAAAATTATTATTTTTTTCATAATTGAGGAAGATTGGGACGTGAGGTTTAATCGCCAAAAAGTAAACTGAAGAAAGTATGTTTGTAAAAGTTATGCAGGCATTGGGTATGACACGTAGTTGGTTGTTATTGGGGATACTTTTTTACACAAAAGGTATAAAACAACCGCTTAAGCTAAAAGTAGTTAATACAAAATTTTTGTATAAATCTACTCTAACACATTAAATTTACACAAAAAAAAAAAATTTAACATACCGCTAAAGATGCTATAAGTAGTCTCTTAAAATATTTTTTTTGTGTAAAATATACATCGACACGTATGATGTGTAAAATTTTTTTTTATCTCTAGCAGTGTGTTAAGATAATGCCACATAACCAATGTGTAAAATTATGATTTATTTTACACAGCCTTTTTACACAACCATATCAACATATTTTCTTTATCCTCCTCTCTCTTCATATCAACATATTTTCTTTATCCTCCTCTCTCTTTCTCATTCCATTAATTAATCAAATCTATATTAAGTACTTTTGTAAAAATTATATGGGATCACACTTGTTGATTATTATTGGGGGATATGTTTTGACACAAAAAGTATAAAACAACAACAGGAGCTAAAAATAAATAATTCAAAATTTTTGTGTAAATTTATTATGATACATCAGATTTACACAAAAATATATATATATACACAACGATTGGAGATGCTCTTAGAACTCATTTGAGATTGTGTTTAGATATGATTAGTAACCATTAAAAACATTTATAGTGTTACTAATTTTAGCTCAGTCGATCTTTTAAATAAAGCTAGAATTTAAAACTTTTTATGTTGCCTTATGAGTAGAATTTTTTCTTAAACAATTTTAATATATTTAAAAAAATTTATAACGACAATCTCAACTATTCTTTTATAAAGTTGTTATTATGGTAAACATTATATTAAGAAATATTATTATAAAATTAGCAATATAAGTGTTTTAAAAAATATTGTCACTAAAGTAATTTAAAAATAATTTATTTATAAAAAGTAATTATTATAATATGTCACTAAACACCTTTTTTCTTTTTAACCTCCATTTTTATTCTAACAGCAACACCAAATAAACTTTTAATCTCTTATTTAAATAACTCAAGAACATACTATTCAAATCAAGATTTTAATTTTTTATTATAATTAATTATCACACAAATAATAAGAATAAGAATAAGAAGAGGATAACGCGCATTGCATGGCTGTCGATCACAGTCACATGCCTCGTGTGAGCCCGGTTCTTTGTTGGTTATTTATTGTTGAATCTCAAAATCAACAACATACATATCCAACCATATATAACTCCATAGTCATACACAATTACCAAAATAGCCCTTTGTTTTAGTGCATCAAATCATACCACTAAATATAATATTTAATTATTTAACAAGAGATATACACAAAATACTATATTTAATAAGTAGTGTATATTAAAAGCAGGAGAGTGCAGAATCACGCCACCTTTGGTTAAAGAAAGGGAATAAAGTTGGGTACAACTTCTCTGCACAGGGCTTTCTTTTATATTTTGCTTCCATCAACGTTAAAACACATCAAACCCAACCTAAAAGCGTTTCTGTGAGTAATAGGTTCTCTTTAATACAGTACTAGTACTAAACTCATACTTATTATCATCTGTTATGGCAAGTGTTTAATTTCACTGCTTCTCTCTCTTGTAACGCTTTTCTTGCTTTTTTGTTTGTGTTGGAATAGGAAGAGAAAGGGCTAAAGTGGGAGAAGTGTTGTTATGGCGTCAACACTGCTATTGGTGTTGGTTTTTATCTTTGATCTCATAGCTTTTGCACTTGCTATTGCTGCTGAGCAGAGGAGGTCTACTGTGAGTTTTTTTCTATGCTTCTTCACTTTTGCTGTCTCTTCTTCTTTTCTTTTTTTTTCTTTTTTTCTGATTATTTTTCCTTTATTATAATATAAATAATATATTGGTGCTTAATTCATAGTTGTTCAATCTATCTGGCTTATGATTTGCTTATATTTGGATCTGGGTATGGGGTCTAATTGTTTAAACGATACCCAATCGGTTGGTTATAAAACATGTTTTTTTTTTTTTTTAAATGAATTCCTCTGTTACCTTCACAATATAACTTTTGTTTGTACTTGTAAAGGAAAATTTGATGCGAGTATGCTTTCCATCTAGACTTAAATAAGAGATATACAGTGTAAATTTAGGGGAAAATTAAATTTTAAGTTAGATTTGATCCAGGGCGGAGCCAAGAATTTGGTTAAGGGGCATGTTAGTACTGATAAAATATTTTTTTTTCAAGCAGGCCGAAAATATAATAGTGTAATAAAAGTGTATTAGAGTAAGTGAATAAAAAATTAATAAGAAGAGAAAAAAGAAAAAGAAGGTTATTGCACATAAATTATGTATTAGTGCAAGAAAAAGAAATTTTTAAGAAGAAAAAGGAATTTTTTAAGAAGAAAATGAAATAAAAGGAAAAAAATGATAAAAAGAAATTTGAAGAATAAAAAGGAAAATGAATAAAGAATTATAGACATTTTTAAAAATAGATAATTTTATGGGGATAATTTATAAATTTTATGAGGGTGTTTTATAAATATTTAGAAATTATACGCATAAAATAAAATAAAATATAGTGGGTTCAAGGGTAGGGGAGCCATTTTATTAATTTTAGGGGGGGCATTATGTCAATTTTTAAAAATTTATGTATAAAAATATATATATATTCTAATGGGGCAGCACGGGCAGGGGGGGCAGCTGCCTCCCCTGGGCACATGCTGCCTCCGCCCATGATTTGATCGAAACTTCGAAGATGGTTGTAAAAAATAAATATAGGGGAAAATTGACATTTTCTACTATTATTAATGTTTCTGCTAAATATTCAGACAAAGGAAAATTAAGGAAATCAAAGGACCCATTTGGTGTCATATTCAGTGTAGCATTTGGTGTCATATTCAATGTTGCTACACTTGAATTTAATAAATAAGCCACTAATTTTGTGTTTTTCAATTTTATGTAAACAAACATTTTGTAATTCCAATATTTCTTGTGTATAAAGAAGTACATAAAGAGTAATTTTCACTGGTAGATTTTGTAAACTCCCTCTGCCTCTGCTGGGGGCCAAAGGAAAAAAGAGAAGAAAATCACATTTTGATATGTAAATTGAATTCTGACAAACTAATGGAGATGCTGATTTCGATGGAGGGGCAGCAGCCGCAACAATGACCGTGATTGGTGGTGGCTGCGAGAGTAACGATGCCATGTTGTTGGTGGCGTCTGCAACATCGGCAGTATGGTGGTATAGGTTGGTGGTGGTGTCATCACAGTAGTAATAAACAGGATGCGTCTTTCTTGTGTTTTGTGGTGTTGTTTGTATGTCTGAAAATCTTTGACATTTTTTAGAATTGTTTCAAGAAGGGAAAAAAACATGGTATTACAAAGTTGAGTCTATTTTCTAGTTCCAGCATTGATGCAGACTCGGAGTATCTTTTTTTTTTTTTTTTGTATCCTTAAATTCATATGGTAGCGAAACACTCGTCTCTTTGTGTATTGCAAGCAATTGTTGAACCACAGATTTTGCGGTGGAACATATCAATATCTACTCCTGTCTTCTTTGATAGGCCAATATCTCCACGGATGCAAACAATAGCTACTGTATTTATGATTCGGATATTGCCACTGGCTTGGGTGTCGGGTCATTGCTGTTTCTACTGGCTAGTCAACTTCTTATAATGGTGGCAAGTCGATGCCTGTGCTGTGGGAAGGGTTTGAGACCTGGCGGTCCTAGGGCATGGGCAATTGTCCTATTCATCACCTGCTGGTACGTGCTTCTTACTAGTTCATCATTAGCAGTTTGGATGTGGTTCAGAGAATATTTTGCTAATATTTTACAAATCCAGAAATAATTGTGTGCTATAGAGAATTTGCTACCTGTTTTCGACAATATTTGAAAAGCTATTGCATTGATATTTCAGGGTGACATTTCTTATTGCTGAGGCGTGCTTGCTGGCTGGTTCAGTGAGAAATGCCTATCACACAAAATATAGATCTCTTTTGACTGATGAGCCTCCTTCTTGTGAGACCTTGAGAAAGGGAGTGTTTGGGGCAGGTGCTGCCTTCATTGTTTTTACCGGCATAGTCTCTGAGCTTTATTACGTTAGCTACTCCAAGGCAAACAATGGTTTCGTGCATAGCGGAGACACAGGCATAAGGATGGGAGCATACAACTAAATTCAGAGAGGAGAGATTCTAGTGTCTGTTTCATAGATTTTACTTTTGAACCTTCCTCATATTATTATGAACAGCTAGAATGATGGACTACATGTTAGCTTTCATATTGAATCTTATTAGACAGTAATGGGTTATGTTTTTAAATCATTAGATTGGTTTGAATTTTCGTATATATTTATATATATGTATTTGTAAGCTGTTTGTCTCTGTGACCAATTTCTTTAACGAATGAAAGATGATCAGCTTTGGCAACCTTGGGTTCTTACAGGCCAATTTGATATCATTGCACTCTTATTGGTATTTGACCTAAATTTGGGAAATAATTTAGAGAACGTAAATATGGATAATTTTTGTATATAAATATTGTTACATTTCATACCTAGACCATTGATGTCTTCCATAAAATATATAGATAAAGCATTGGAAAGGTAGAAGCCCCACTCCCACCATTAAAGTGGTGAGGGTTTTTTTCATGGTCTCTTGTACTAATTATAGTGTTCTGCATTACTTTGCTTTCTAGTGGTTTGCAGTGTCATGACTTTTGCATGTGTTTGTTCTTGTGAGCAATAAAATTAAGTTTACTTGCTTTGTTCCAACAAATTAACCTGTTTGTAGCTGAGGATTCTGGCCCAACAAAAAATCTTACCAATTCTGGCATATTAGGCTTCAAAGTTTTCAATCAAGTGAATATGAACAACTATTGCCTTTCTATGACGTAAAATTATTCATTGTGTTTTGGTCTATTGGTTGGACTCTTGTGTTTAAAGATGGTATGCAGCAACTGGCACATCAATATGAGGAGGGAACATTTAAAGTTAATTGAAATAGCTGAGACTTGAAAAGTGATAACCCAACTGCTGCAGATCTTGTTGAACAGAATGCCTTGTGAACTTGTCCATCCCCAGCTTGTTTGTGGCAAAATGTTTGTGTAAAATGTCAATTCAGGACCCTTCATTTCCACTTCCCCAGTATCACAACATTGTTGAATCTTTCCACTTCACCTAGTCTGTCTTTATTATTAATGATTGCTCCAAAGCCAGTCTCCTTATTTTTTTTTTTTTTTTTTTTTTTTTTTTTTGTGTGTGTGTTTGGCAATGCTGTTCATAATTACCTTCTCTACATATTGGAATGTACAAGTGGACTAACCTTCTTTTTTCTAGCATTTGAACTCTCAAAGAAAATCAAGATGCAGAGTAGGAGAAAACAGTCAGAGCACTTGGAGAATTGCTCATATTTAGTACAAGCTTATACTCTTAACCGAAATAAATTCGTACAGTTGGTATGCGCATAAATGATTTCTTGGTAAAGCATACTAACCTCTGAAGCATTTAACCCCACCAAATCTAGATCCTTCTCCCTGCATGATTAGGTCAAGATGATGTGACATTGTAAGACCTGCCAACCCTAAGTTCTTACAAACCTATCAAAATCCAATTTTATGTTCTTTTGAAACAGGCACAATGCTTTTATTTAAGATCAGTATTGGTGATCATAAGATTCATAAGGTGTGTGTGTGTGTCTATATATATATATATATGACCTGCAGATGTTGAATCTCCCAGAAGTTCAAGCCGGCAAAAGAACAGAAAATGAAGTTCCAAGGCCAGTGGTTTGTGGTCCAGATATGTTGGGAAGCATATTTAATTAAATGCTGACATATGATAATTTGAACTCCTGAACTTATTCTATTGGCTCTATCCAATTCTTGTGACTACTGAATCAAAATTCAATACAAAGCTGATGAGTATGTGAACAAGGTCATATATAGATAAAATTGAAGACAAGGCTATGTTTGGTTTGGTTGGTCTTTAGTGTCACATATCCTATTCAATGGCAATACTTCCTAGAGAGTGCCAAGCTCTATTTTTGGTTCTTCATCATATAGAACTTCCATTGAGGACACAATTTAATTTCAACTTTTCGATAAGGCTCACTCACTAACCAAACAAGCCATCATAGAAAACAAATATATACACATATATACACACACAAGGTTCAAATAATGGCCCCACAGCATGCGCATGTCTTTTTGGTTTTTTAAGCAGAGAGCTGCACATGTTCTGCAACTATACTGAGAGGAGAGTACTTGAAAGGACCACCAATCAACCAAGATTACAGTGCTGATTAAAGCTATGAATTTTATTTATTTATTTAGTTTCTAACAAAGAATTGACACAGATTACTTTGGACTTTTAAATGATTTGTAAATTTCGAATTGACTAATTGTCTACAAATAACACACATCAATTAAACCTAGAACTTGAAAGCTATGAACCTTCAACTGAACTTGAAACCTAGTTATAAAATAGTCTACTTACAACTCCAATCCTTTAAAAAAAAAAAGGGTGGAGGAAACGTGCGAGGACAAGGAAGAGGGAATGATTCTGCTAGCAAGTGGACATGAATGGGGTTACCAAACAAAATCCAAGTGAAATTATTAAAATGTACCTACAAATACACATATCCACAAGAATCTTCCATCACATCTCTAGTCACCCATGCCATGACCCAACCCAGCTGGGGAGGTCGACCCCATATCTCTCAAATATACCTGTCCAAATCCGTCCCAATTCTCTATCAAAATCTATGGTGGTCCGTGGATAAACAAAACCTACACCACACATGCATTCTTGCATATATTATTACAAAAACATGAGAGAGAGAGAGAGAGAGAGAGAGCGAGCGCATTAATGAACACCTTAACTAGCCTGAAGCTGAAACTAAAAAGGACAGCTTCAAACACTATACATCTCACTATTAATAGTTACAGACTGAGAGGGACTACAATAGATGTCATGACTTAATACAGAGTCACATACATATTGAATATGGTGATATTATAAGTAACATCCAATAATAAGACTTAAAAGGGCTAGTCCCACCCCAGGGTCTAGGCTGTTTTCTTGATTCGGACCAAGGCACGCCCTCATCTAACAAGAAGACTTTTAAGAAAAGAAAAAAAAAGGCAACCCATTATCAAAAACAGACACCCATTCACCCAAATTGATGATCTACCAAGACACTGTTTGATCTTTAGGGTTTGATCTCTTTATCATCCCATGGTATATTGAGATCAGCTGAGGCGCCAAACGTATCAATATCTTCCCAATTCCAGTAGTTTGGAATGTCCATGACACTGCTTGTGTTAGGAACTTGCCATGGCAGAGAAATGATGTTGCTGCTGCTTGTGCTGGACATGATGGAGCCAACAGTTGTCTCCTCCATACTTGTCAACCCTCCAGTGAAGTTATAAACATTCGAGGACTGAAACGAAGTCGAAATTGAAGATGGGTTGGTGTCAATAGACCCCAAGCTCGTAAAGGGAAAGTTTAGATTCTGATTCTGTGGCAACGATAAAGTTGAACCCATAAACAACCCATTGTTGACGGTGTCATGTTGAATTGAAGATGGTGGATGAATCAAGGATTGATAGAAAATGTCTGAGAAATTTTTCTGATCATCGTTCTCTAGAGAAAGGTGATCTTGACATTGTTGCTGACTCTGCACACCCAAATTAGTATTACTCTTATTTGTGGCCGCCGTCGTGGTGGTGGTGGTGGAGGAGGAAGTGTTTGATGTTTTGAGCCGCTTATTTTTGCGAGCACCGCCCACGGGGACGTTACGAAGAGTGCCACCTTTAGTCCAATGCCTCTTACAAGCTTTGCAGAAATGGCGAGGCTGAGACTTGTTGTAATTGTTGTAATAGCAGAACTTTGTGTTAGTAGAGCCACACCTGGGACAATCCAACTGCTCCGATTGTTGTTGTTGCCGTTGTTGTCGCCTCACCGGTGGTGGTTCGGGCAACTCCAGAGCACCAGAGGGCGAAAGGGTCTGGCCCCAATCAAGCCCGTGATCATTAGAAACCTGTTTTGTACTCAAACCCATCTCTAAGATTCACACCAAAAAAACCAATTAAGAGCTTAATAGTGATGAAATTAAGGATCAAAGTGGGAAATTAATTCTAGCCTTTGGATCTTGGAGCAAGAAGAGAGAGAAACCTGAAGATGACGAGGAGAATAAGGTTGTTTTTGTTGACAAAGAGGGTGTGTTTCTGTGGAGATATAGAGAAAGATTGGACAGGGTAGAGTGCAATGAAATGGGTAGGAAGGTGATGAGAAGTGAGCATGTCGGAGATATATTCTCTCTATATCTATATATGTATCTCTCTACCTGTAAAAACAATAATAATGATAATAATAGGAGTAACAAGGAGACTTAAGAAGACCAAAATTGCTTGAGATTGCAGTGGCCAAGAGGGGTTTTTTAGTTTTTAATATTTGGGAGGTGTAATTTAAGCGAGCTTAGCTTCCTTCTAGGACCATATATGATCCTCTTTTCACACAGTTTTATAAAGAGAATTTTGCTTCGTCCCTAAGGTGAAGTTGAAAGGCTGACACGTGGATGATCTAATCACCGTAGATAGTGCGTTTTGTGTTTGGGGTGTAAAGTCGACGTCAGGAAGTAAATCTATCTTTATGCCACCACATTCCACATACATTATATATATATATGAGAAATATATACCTCACACACGATGGTGTGTATTATGTGTAGAGTTGTATGTATGGAACCAAAATTAAATACAAAGTTGGCAAGAGGAGGAAAAGAGGGCGTACCACGGTTGGTGGGTCCCATGGGTGGTGTTTTGTTGTTTTGTAGTTAGTGGGATAGCTCTGCTACAAGGAAGAGATGTAGAGAGAGAAAATGTAGCTAGAGAGGGAAAGGTCGGTGAAATGTCTGCTGCCATGTCCATGTGAGTGACTTCCTAATAGACAAAGAAGGTGGTGACCTCAGATTAATGCGTCTAATGGGACCCATTTGTTGGCTTTGTTGATTAACACTGGTCGCCACGTGATTACTCGTGGTCGTGGGGCTAAGCTGCACTTTTATCAAACTTTGGGTTATATCCACAAAATCAGGCCTAATAGTAGTACTGTATAAGAATTGAGAAATAAGGATTTCATAATTTGTAAAATGTGTGTAAATAAGCATCTAATTTAATAATAATTTTAAAAAATCTTTTATCTATGCCCACATTTACACACATAAATATATATATATATATATAATTATAATACTAAGATAAACTTATTAATTCTACAACTTGATTATTTTAAGTAAAATTTATGAACAGAGTTCTACTTACATATAATCAATGATTTTAAAGTTACAATTCACAAACCTAACAAATTGATCAGATTTATATAGGCATAAAAAACGTATTAATATCCCGTTTGTCAATACTTGTCATGTAATATTTATGGATATATGTATAACTAATTTAATTTTTTATAATATTTTTTCTTATACCTATGTGATTCTTCAACTATGCATCTATTTGATATTTCTTAAATATTTCATAGTGTATTTTTAATAAATTTTGAATATTAAAGTATAATTTTTATAAATAAAAATAAAAATAAAAATAAAATCAATATTAATATTAATATTTGTTTTAAATATATTATTGTCCTATTTTTAATAGACTTTCAGTGACAAATCGAAATAAGATTAGGATAATGACAAGTCATTATCTTCTTAAATACAGTGTAACATCCGTGTCAATGTTGGTATCTTATTTGTTTAAAATTTGTCATACCATCTGAAACATATCGTTTTCATATACCCTTTTTCAATCTTCATGTATAGGATCTCTCGCAGGTATGCAGATGCAGGGACAAGTTTAGCATTACCTATATTTCAAAAGTAGGGTTATAGGCCATCACCATTTTCCAAATATAATCATGATAACAGTTTTCTCTGGAAAAAAATAATAATAATAATAATAATAAAAATCATGATGACAGCTGGCCAATAACTGTGCCACATTCAGAGTGTTCAGTATTTAAAAAAATAATTTGATGATCAGGGTTCGCAATTGTAACAGTGTATAATTGTGCCACATTCACAGTGTTAGTAGGGCATTCCTCCGAACCAGAACACTCCTCTTGTATCAATTTTATCCCGTCAATATAATAACTTTAAATAGTAAATATAAATTAAATTAATAAAATAACAATTACGTAAAAATATTATTTAAAAAAGGCAAGAGATGACACCATAATAATTACCAAAACGATAATAATGATGAAAATATATTCTGGAACCAAAAATATATAAACCTAGTTACTAGTATGTATAATTAACCGAGTTAGGCATCCTAGGGACTAGGTTTCACCTTTTTTCCCCCTATATAAATAAAATGAACATGAGAAACCTTAGAATGATGGACTAGGATCCATGAATGATTTCTGTTCGTATGTGTGTTTTTTCTTTCCTTTTTACTAAGGGTGTTCGAGAAGGTAAATTTGATGCAAATTCAACTTTTTACATTATTTTCTTTGTAATATGTCTCAGACTATGGCCGTCAGTATAATTTAAAATAAATAAAGAATTTCTACAAATGAGTAAAAAAGACTGAAAACCTACTACATATGAGGACACGAGAGTCACATGCATATATATATATATATTAAGCTGTGATTAAAGAATGTGTAATTAAGAATACAATTAATTAATTAATTAAGAATACAATTAATTAATTGTACCTCCTGTTAATTGTTAATATAAGGGGAATGTGAATGAAAATCAAACAGGGTCGGTTGATTAGGTAAAGTTGGTTTTGAGAAAATGTCCAAACAGAATGTTTGTCGGACAACTAGTTAGATAACTTAGCTTGATATATAATGAATCATAATATATATATAACATGAATTAAAGGAGTCTAAGATGTCCAGCTGAGATCCTAAGCCCATCATGATTCCACATTAATATATAGTACTTTATTAGAAATCAATTAGATTCCATATATTAATCAATTGGAGAAGTTGGAATTTGGTTGACCGAAGCATGTACGAACATTTGGTGGCTAATTTTGTTGCCCGTGGACCAACAATGCAGCGAGGTTTGATTAATATTATAATTAATTTTTTAGCAATAATAATTTTATATTATGATCATTCATTCAATCAATCAGTAAAATTTGAATGGCTCAATCAGTAGAATTTGAACTACTTTATAGAGTAGTAGAAGTTTATTTACTCAGAGGGAGCCATTTGAAGGGTGTTTGAATTTGATGGGAGATGAAAGGAAAGGAAATGAAATGAAATAAAAAGGAGGGAATTCCAAACAAACCTTAATAGAAGCAAGGAATGATGGGAGGTTGGTTGGCACACATGTCGCTGCATGATGAGGTAGGTAGTGGGCCCGTTGGGGGACCACATGAACAATTGATGGTTCCAGGTATTCCATTAATATTTTAAAATTTGGCACATGATAGACCGGAGTTGGCCGTCCATTCCAAGAGATTATTGAATACCTCAGGGGTATGGTACCCGGGGTAGTGAGGGCCATTGAATTATGGATGTGATGGTGGGCCCCACCACATTCAAGGGTTGGTATGCTCTGGGAGTATATATCCTCGGGATATTCAATAATTTTCCATTCATTCCATCCATAATTAATAATTATAGCAAACAATTGTGCGAAAATAATTAACCTTTGCCCCACTAGCCTCTCTTTTTTTTCTCCCAAATATAAGAATAAAACTAGAAGAATTTTGAAGACACCGGAAATTATTAAAAAATAATAATTGAAGAAAAAGAATGATGATAATAATGGAACTGGTTGTTATTTATTCAAGGAATATATATATATATATATATATATATATATATATATATATATATATATATATGAGAGTTATGATAGATTAATAAATCGCAGAGATGAGTTCCACCTAAAAGCATCCAAGGAATTTTTTTTTTTTTCTTTGTAACATTATTAATATAACCTTCTTGCATTGAACTTATAAAAAGTAAACAATCACATTCTGTGGACCTACTATGGATAGATTTGATAATTCATTTGTTACTAATATAATAAAAAAATTATACTTAAAAGAAATGACATTTATTTTGGAATGGAAGGAGTAAATAGTAGGGTAAAAAAAAAAAAAAAACACCCTTGAACTATTTTCTTTTTGCAAATAACCTCCCTGAACTATAAATTGCCCCCTTGAACTATGAATTTGTTGCAATTAAGACAAACACATCACAAAAGACTATTTTACCATTTCTCATTACATTTGTCGTTCCTTATTAAACAATATTTATTATTTTTTTTCTTATCTAAATACTAATTATACCATTTATATTCATTTTATTATTAGTATCAATTTATCATAAAAAAAAATAAATAAATATACTACCATTTTTTAAAATAATTAACTTATTATTAACATTTTATTATTTATAATAAAACTTTTTATACTCACTCAAAAAAAATTTACCATTAAAATACCATCTCTTTCATGCAATATATTCATAAAAAAAAATTAATAAATACTTAAATAAAAAAATACCTTTTTTTTCATGCAATATATTCATTAAAAATTAAGAAATTACTTAAATTTTTTAAAATATAACTTAAGATTTTTTTAAAAAAAATAATAATTTAAAAAATTAAAGGTAAGCTTGTTCAAATTTAATGAAAAATATATCATTAAATTAGTATAATTTTTTTTTCATAATTTATTTTAATAAGAAAAATAGATTAAGTATAATTCAATAAGAAATGATAATATGGTCATTTAATAAAATATAGTTAAGATATTGGAACATTTTACAACTAAATGTGATAGTTCATAATATTTTATGCATAAAATATACTTCAAGTGAATTATTTATAAATTCCGACATATTTAAGATAGATTTTTATTTTTATTTTTTTGCACTTTACCTAAATATTAAAAAGAATCCTACCCCTTTACGCTTGTGGTCATATGTTTCTACTGCGAAAGGGCGGCAATGGTGGTGACCACATAAAATTTGGTCATATGTGTCTGCTGGGAGTGGGAGTGTGGAAGAAGTAAGGAATATGTTTTAGTTATATGCATACAACAAACACATGCATGTATGTGTGTGTGTGTGTGTGTGTGTGTGTGTAAAATTGAAAGCTTAGTCAAGCAGTTGTTGCAAAAAGATAATTGACAAATGACAAGTACAAATTGCAACTTAGTAAAGCATAACAAATGTTATTTTTTTCACTACCATAAGTCTCGATAGGCTACTTTCCGACACACGAGTGTCTCATTTTTTATTTCACTAAAACTATGTACAAAACTCGTGCATACCCAATGAGCTCATATTTAAGTAGTAACATGTGTGTGTGTGTGTATTTGTAGTATAATGTTAAGGAAAAATGGTAAACTCAATGATCCGTATTCCGTTTGGACTGATGTGGCAATCCAAAATCCAAATAAACATCTAGAAGAGAGTAAATTCATTAGAGGCATGCCAAAAAAAAAAAAATCAATTTTTGTACTGTTACTCAATTTTAAGTATCAAACTAAGTATGGACAATTTGGCATTTTATCGTAAAACCCATTTTCCTTGTGTCAAATTGTATGTTTTACATACATTGTTTTCATAAATTTCTTTGGTTTGTTCCTTAGTGACTAAGAAGTTTCTAGATACATAAGATATTTAGTTTACAAACGACAACATGATCCACCTTTTACTTTATCCAAAAAATAATAATAAACAGAGAGAGAAACAAAACATGATCAACTTTAGAATCTTTTAATCTCCCATCACTTTTGGGCATGGTAATTGGGATTCCTTCCTGGGCTAAAATGTGAAATGGTACTAACTAATGACTAAAAATTTAAACTCAAACTCGAATTTGTTTACATTTCTTTGCAGGTTTTGGATGTGAATGCGTAGTAATCTCACAATTATGCATAGGCTAGTTCTTTTTTAAAGGTGATTTTTCATTTATGATAGAAACATGGAAAATGATTAAAAAAAAAAAAAAAATTAATCTATTTTATTATCAATTAATATGTTTATCAATAAATGAAAAATCGATTTAATATGGTTCATATTGTTGTTCAGTTATTAAAGGTGTTACATATCGATTTAGCAGAGAAGTGATTTGCAGTGAAGTGGTGAAGGTGGGAGAGAGAGAGAGACAATGGTATGTGGTTTAAGGGTAGTTTGGTCCATCAATTGTTTACATTACAAGGGTTATAACGTCTTTTTACATTGTTGATGGGCATTTTAGTCACTTCAAACTAATTTTCTAATAAAAAATATTATTTTTTGTACGGAGGGGAGGTCATTGCAAAATGAGGAAAACCTTAGGGGTCACGTTACAACAAAATGGCAAATCTTAAGTTTAGTTGCAATTAGTTCAAACCTCAGGAGAGGTCATTGTAATTTGCCCTATTTTAAAAGATGAGACATGTTCTTATTCATCACAAATTAATTAAGAGTTTTCATTAGACACTTATAATTAGAAGGTGAAAAAAAAAAACCAATAATATGCATCAACAAGCATGGGCCGTTGTTAGATGCCACGTGGACATAGCCTAACCCACCCAAGAATAAGCAAGGTAAGGTTTTAGGGTAAATTATGTTCACCGTAGTACCACACATCTCCCCTAAAGTATGTCACCTATACTGAAAATCATACTAAAATTGAAATTAATTTTACATTTATTCTCTTAATAATTTATTGGAAAAATAAAGTTAAAAGTGAAATTTGCTATTTTATAAATTAATTTCACGATATCATTCTTTTGGCAAGAAGGATAGAAAAGAGGGTAGAGGAGATGGTGGAAAGAATGGAAGGAGCATTCATTGGGAAACAAAGGTTGGGTGAGATAAAACACGTTTGATTAGAAGGAAGAAGGTGAGATAAAACACGTTTGATTAGAAGGAAGAAAACGAGAGCTTTTATATTATACTTTTATCATAAAATTAATGAAGGACAATAATGTGACTTCACATTATACATAAATGTCCCTGTTCTCTTTTGAGATGAAAATTTTTGGGGCACTTTTTATAATTTCTTACCCTCTTGCTTTTCCTCCCTTCAAACAATGAAAAATTGATTTATCCCTCCTTCCAACCAAATGGTTGGAAAATGTTTCACCTCTTTTGAACCAAATAATTTATTACTCGTCTTTGGTTAACAGTAGTACTAGTAGTATGCCAAGCTCACTAATCTGCCTTTCCTAGTTCTTCCCAACTCACCCTAGCGAGTTCCACATTCAATAACACAACAAAACATTAGGCGTTTATCAACATATCAGACAGGAAATACACCAACAGCAGATCTAGTACCCATGGTAGGGGAAGTAACTAGCATTAATGCCAGCGATGATAGCACATCAATGAACTCACACAGCAGGGATATATATATTTATATCCATGGAATATTAACCAAACTATGATACAATTTGTTCCATACAATTCTGCTAAATATTAAGTGACAACTTTATGGAGGACCCCAGCATCCAAATATCACTAACAAACAAAATGCATAAACGCCCTAAAACTTGAAATCCTTTTTCTTTGCTTTGCCGTCCTTTTCCTGCATCTTTCGTTTTCTCTTCTTCTCATTCTGCATCAGTTCAATTTATCATTAAAACTGTCTCAATAGAAAAGGAAAAAAAAAAAAAAAGTAATATGATATTGAACAAAATTGTTTTGAGACACACCTCAGCAACCATGTCACTGAAGTCCTCCCGCTGACTACGCAGTTTCTCCTCTTCCCTTGCCTCCTCATACCTGAAAAACCAAACAACAATAGGAATATAACCCCCAGAGAGAATAAACTAACACCAAAATCGTATCGCTATTAACACTTACTTCGCAGGCAAAACATTGTCCATAAGTTCCAACTCCTCCGGTTGCAATGTGACATCAACTCTGTCAGATTTCTGACCTTTAAGAAGATCAACCTGAAACCAGAATGACATGAGTCATAATTGATAAATAATGTCTCAGACACATCACAATGATTGTGCCATTGTGTCTAACAAGGAACGATCATAGCTTTAGATAAGAAAATTGATGTTATAATAAACTTGCTCACTTTCTCAGTTTGCCAAACAAAAGATAACTATAACGACATGTACCATGTTTATGTTTGCAACGGAATTTATAGGAGAATATTTTATAAAAAGAAACGGAAAGAAATACATAGTGTACTTCGTTAACTAAGTAGTGACATTAATTGACACTTCAAAGAAAATTTACACACACACAGAAGAAAGAAAGATAATTACAATGAAACCAGTATGCCGATCACCCAACAGATGCAGTAGTACAATCGTGATTCATTCACAAGGAAAACAACATTACTTCAGTATTATCTTAATAATAAGCCGAGTCCTGTGAGAACATATTCGATTAGAAGAGTGCATACTTGCAGGTTCCACATCTCTGTCTTCTTTACAAGTTTCAACTGATTATTATAATCTTAGTGTATATCTCCTTTACTACCTTTTAATTTTTTAAAAATAAATTGTAATATATCCTAAATAACAATACATTTTCCATCGTTTTAAGCAGCAACATCATGCTAAAGTCATTACTCGATACTTCTACTGCCAATACAGCATAATGCAAGGGTAGACTTGGGACAGACCTAAACATGTTACCCTCAACTCAAACCCCCATTTACACTTGACAGCACAACCTTCTAACATTGTATCAAACAATGATTCCTTACTCTATGTCCGCACTTATCAATGATCCCTTACTCTTATGTACGCACTCCTACCTCACAAACAAAACCAAAAAAAAACAAAACAAACAAACAAAAAACTGAAAAAGAAAATATTTTGATCACACTCCTTCAGTGAATGGCATGTAATGACCTCTCCCTATAAAGCACATCAATTATTGGTCCAGGTCATCCATGATGAAACAAATGATGTACTCGATTTTCAAAGAAAAGTTTTGCTTTCAGGAAGTGGATAAGAAAAAGAAATCAAAAAATTTCTTACCCTTTTGGCTGCTGTTTTGTCTTGAGTGCCACCGCTTACCACATACCTGTTGAAAGGAAAGAATAAAAACTAAATCAAGAAAAGGAACACCCCACCCACCCCCCCCCCCCCCCCCCCCCCCCCCCCCCCCCCCAAAAAAAAAAAAAAAAAAAAAAAAAACTAAGTTCACAAGTACGAGCAGATTGCGTACGTATGGGTTGTTCCAAGTAAGGTCCCTGGAGCAATCTTTTCTTCTTTTTCTTCAAGTACCTTTATGAGACAAAGCAAAAAGGCATGTGAGCCGCAAGCCAAAATTATACTAAAAATGGCAGTTTCACTGATCATATACTCACTTGGTAGAGAGGCTTCTCAGGCTCCTTTCTCTGCTGCTTGCGAAGGTCAATAACATCTGGAGTCTCAACGCCAGTAGGTGTGCTGTGTAAGAGGTAAAAATATAATACATAAAAATAACTCAGCAACGGGAATTGAAGTTCTTCACACACACACACAAAATCCTAGACCCAACTAGCCCCTCGATAAGACTTCCCTCCTAGTGTGTGGCGATAATGCTAAACATCCTGCCTGATCTAAATGGTCAGCGTAGCACATAAACATGTTGAAATGGTAGGACCCATTGCATGTGTACGTTTGTGGGGTAAGTTTTAGGTCTTTGATCAATACCCATAATTTATACAATCACCAATACGATGGTGATCCAGACATGCACTCAACGACATTAGACTGTCTAACAGAATAGTGCTTATAACCAAAATTACCAAAACTTGAAAGACAACCGCCCATTTAAACCTTTCTTCTGACATGAACACAAAAAATACACCACCAGAAGTGAGCAAGTGCAATACCTTGAAAGACTATCCACGGATTCAATGCCAGCCTCCAGTTCCTCTTCCTCAATCTGTTCTTCCTCTTCCTCTTCTTCCTCCTCTTCCTCTTCCTCCTCCTCCAAATCACCCCAATGCTTGGTCTTATCAACTGGTTCTTCCTGAATGTCAATAGACAATATATAATAAGTGAATGTATAATTATAGATTTTGAAAAAACAAATAATTAGAAAAAATGTACGAGAAATTAAATTCTTTTATGAACAAAAGACAAGGACTATGACTCAAGCTGCCACATATAACAGTGATTGGTCTTTCTATTTCCCCAGCAATCATCTTTAAAAGCACTTGTCACAAAAAAAAAAAATAAAAAATAAAAATAAAAAAAAAAATATATATATAAATCATCTTCGAAAATAGAAGACAGAGAATGCTAAGACGGAATAGTGGTGTTATTTTCAATGGTTACCATTTCAGTCTGTCAGTAATATTGCTCATAAAAATTGACATTCACATGGGCCACATGATTAAATATAAAAACCTAGTAACCCAGAATATAAGGAAAAACTATTATATGAGAAAGTACCTCATAATTGGGCTGTTCTTGTTGCTGAACACCAAAGACATCTCCATACAAAGGGCGCCCAAACTAATTAAGGGGGAAAAAATAATATTAGACAAGAAAATATTGCTATATAACAGTGGTGTACAAATCAATTAACAAAGAAAACGCAAGAACAGAAAGTGAAGAACTAAAGGGGGAAAACATACTTCATCCACAGGTGGTTTACCCCAGCCTCCAGGATGATAACCAAAGGTTGCTCCGGCAGGAATAGGAGCATTCAGTCCAGGAATTCTCAAATGTGGATAAGAAGGTGGGGGACCGTATCTCTGGCAATTAAAAATCTCAGTCAAGAAGAAAGAACTCATACTAATAAAACCTATCTTTCTTCCAAAATGTATGAAACAATAAAGTCCCAAGGGAACTAAAAGGATCAAAATCAAACACATTATACAAGCTTATCTGACCTGCATATTGATAAGCCATGGGGGAGGAGCGCCCTCTGGCATACCAAGAGCTTCTTTTAGTTCCTGCGATAACATTCCTGGCTTCATCTCCCTTAGCTTCACCTGTACACCACATTAAAAAATGTAAATTAACACCACCATTGGGTCCTCAAAGAAGTACTTCTTCAATTCCCACAAGTTTAAAATTGTATTAAATGCATGAAAATGGTCAATTGAAATGTGTGACTTAATTCGCATGCAACAAAAATGACAGATATGAATCCTCAACCATCCCCATATTGGTAAACAGGTTCGATGTCTTCTAGCTACTAAGTTTAAGATGAAATGCATCCAAAATTCCAGAAAACTTCATTGTTGGCTTTACAGTTTTGGAGAGATGATCAAAATGTTATCCCAATGCCGCTATCCTGATGTTATGAAGGAATAGACTAAGGCTTTTACCAATCTCTCACTACAAAAAAGTAGGACTAATAGACTTGGGAGATGGGAAGATGCAGTTTGGTAGAGGAGAGAGAGGAATGGTAGGTTTGAGGTCTGTTCACTCTATGGGATGTTGAGAGGGAAGGAAGTGTAAGAAATAAAAGTAATTACATTGAAAGGCACCTACCAAAGTGGCATTTCTCACAAGGACAACAGCTTAGGATAACCTAATTTCTAACCTGACAATTCGGCCAAACAAAAATGTTTGTAACCAAAGTTGTTGTAAGAATGTAGAGATGACCACACTAATCACCAGCTTTTTCAGTGTTGTTCAATAGCCCAAGAGTAGTGATATATCCTTTGGCTGTTTGTTGTTTAATTGTCAAGTCCAAATTACTGTTACAGGTTCTATTTTTTTTTTTTGATAAGTCGATTACTGTTAAAGGTTCTGGAAGTGTAGAGAGGAGACGCTTAAGAGGAAGAGACTGCCAGGGTCAAACGTAGTGTGCCTTTGCCTCTGGTCATGTGATTGGAATGAGAGAGTCCACAAAATAATTGGTTATAAGAAGATGGGTAGCCATATTGCAGATTAAGCTAAGCTCTTTATATCTTCGGTCATCAAAGGATATTTTTGTTTTCCTGATTCTTTTGTAGAATATTGGGGAGTTTGAGCTTTAAGTAGTGCTCTCAGGCTTGACAATGCATACTTTGCATGTGCTTGAGTTTGCCCCGCTCTGGCTGCTTTAATATGATCTTTTATTTATTAAAAAATAATAAAAAAATAAAAAGTAAAGATATAAATAAATAGAACAAGGAAAGAAAAAATATTACATGCACAACCACAAGTTTCAGACCAAAATAAAACCAGAAGGCAAAAAAAAAACTCATCAAGTGGGAGATTAGATTGTCATCACATAAGCATCATTATATCAATTTAGCTTTATGGAGTGAATAGCACTCAACAGCCAGGATTATGTTATCAACATAATCTATCAAACATCACATTTAATTGCCTTGAGGCTGATCAACAACTATCTCCCAAATCCCAATCTGAAACCAAGGTTTACATCTCTCCTTACCCGCCCCTTCATCCATATAAACTTCCCCCACATTTCTGAATAAAATAGGATCTAGCACAAGTTGACTTGCCGGTGGCTCTCCCTAGAAAATAGGGTAAAATCCCACTGGAAGGAGGGAACCAAAAACTAAGGGGAAAAAATTAGTTCATTGATATAGCAGTGATGAAGACTATGAATGCATTAATGTTTATATATGTAGCAAACAAATTCGAATATAAGGTTCATACCTCAAACTCTTTTCCTTCATGATATAAATCACCGTGTGACGTCAGTTTTGGCTTAGTCTGATACTTGAAAAAAGCATCATGGAGAACCTGCAAACAAGAACATGCACAGTGTCAGTACAATATGAAACTTTTTGGGATATAAAAGTATTAGTGTAGCACCTGCCCCCTCTTTTGAATTACAACATGAGAACCAAAAGAATTACCAAATCCCACGCAACTTATAAATCAAGAATTTAAAGAGACCTGATAATCAATATCCATTTTTCCCATCCTTGGCTGCATTCTCTCACGTTGCTTCTGTTTAAGCTTCTTACTGTCCTCCTTTTCGATGTAAGCCTGCACAAGAAACAGTCAACAGATTACCCCTGACAAACTCGCATATTGCCCAGATCAGTTAAAAGAAGTGTATGGACAAATAGCAGAACCCATAACAACAGCATTAGAGAAGTGCTCCTAACAAGAAAAGATGCATATATAACGGTACTAATAAGTCTAGAAGATAAAAAATTGATGTAGGGTAACTGGCTCTTCTACATTTTGCCAGTTTGATGACATCAGCGTATAAGTAATTTATTACATTACTACTAAAAATTCATTTCTAATGCCTCATCTCCACAATGTGCAAGTAAAGTGAGGGAAGTTACACACCAATTGCCAAAAGGACAAGTTTAAATGTAAGCATCAAGTATGATAGGCCTGGTTCAAAGAGGAGAATTATTACCCTAAGCCGAATGGCAGGTAAAGTTTGAAAATTTAAATATCGATTGAATAAGGAGTACATACAAAAGACCAAGGATAATCAATTTGGCGCTCAGGAATAAAAACAAGTATGGCACTATTTGCTCAATTCAGATTCCAAACAACAACAGAGGGTATCAGACACTCCACACAAAAAATAACATGCAATGGCACTTTGCTCTTTTTTCATTACTGAAAAAGCAGGAACATGAAGTATTTAGGAGAGCATGAACTGTAACTATGAACAAGTAACAAGATAAGCCCTACCTGTCTAATTTTCTCAATTCCTGTAGCAGCTATGAAATCAGGAAGTTGAAATGGCTGTTTTTCAATACCACGCTTACCCTGCAAAATAAATATGAACCATGATTAGGTACAAAATTTATCCAGCAGCACATATATCGTTAAAATTATTCCGCACTTGAAACTTTGTCAGTAATGAATCTTAAAATGTTCGAAAACAGAACAGCCCAGAATATCGGAAAGACGGGCATAATATCCCAGCCCAGCACTATGCACAATGAAAAGGAATCTGTAAATTCAAAGAAGATTAATTAGCATCCTGCTGGTGAAAACCCCCTAAGTTACAGGGAAGTATTTCATGCCAAGACTTGTAATTTTCCCAGAACACATCATATGCATGTCTAGTTCCCAACCCAAACTAATAAACATACTAAAAGAGAAACCATTCAAGGGTCCCCCTTGCCAAACACCTACATGTCCCGGCTCCATTATTGTCAATGCCGCTCCCCTGCAAGAATCACATATATACATATAAGAGAAACCTCATCAATGTTATCTTCCCTAACCCTCTTCCCAAAAAGCCTCATTTTGAGTAATACCATCAAGCTATTCTTATTTAGCATTCTATAGAAAAGGAAAATTACTCCCACTAATAATGCATGTATAGATTTCAAAACAAGTCTTATTAGAGCAAGAGTTATTAACCTGCAAAAATTTCCTTTTCTGGCACCAATGTCTCGGCACTGGTACAGTATTTCGATACGATTTAAGAAATACCAGTAACTTAGGATCTGCTGAAGTTGCATCCCACACCTGAAAAAAACCGAAATAATATAAATTATAACATGACAATTGGAACAATAAAAACAAAAATAAGGAATAGCTTTCACCGCCACATCAACTGTAACAATAATAACAAGCCAACATTTCATCAAATCTATAAATAGTTGAACCACGATGAAAATCAATTATTTAACAATAAACAAGCCAGAAATGAATCAAACGTGATTTTATCAGTCATCTCTTCCTGAGGTTATGGAGCGTTTAACTTTCTAACTGGTAAAGAACAACCAAGGCATTCAACATAACTCAAAAGGCCCAAAAAAGCTACTTGGCAATGAAAACATTTGTTTTTGTTCTATGAAAGCAAGAGCATGTTAATATGTTTCTATAAGCACCAAAGGGATGCAACCCCCATACAAGCAAATGTACAAGGAAAAAAACTACACAAAATCCAAATGCTATCAACCATCATAGCACCCATCATATGGTTTTATCCTCCTCAAGTTCAGTATTACGCTGAATACTCAGACCAACTCAATATTACTCTCAATCACCACCAACGTATGAAGAAGCAGTTCCACCTTATACTTCTATAATAGATATTTCCATCACTGGTCAACTATTCAAAACAATCATGAGAGAATACCATATTGGGATTTTTCAAATAAATATTTCCTGGAGGCCGGGGCAGATGAACGAAGTAGCACTTAGTCCCATCCCAATCTCAATATGAGAATCTTCCATGCCACTCATTTTGGTAATGAACCAATGATTGTCACTGGCAACCTCATTTCAGCCTTCTTTCAATATGTATTTATATGGGGAGATTTAATGCCCATTTTATTTCTCACCACATGCACTCCACTTAAATTTGTAATGATGGAAATGACAAAATTGCACACCAAAAGCGGAGTGCAACTATACTATTTTGCATAATGTGTTTTTCGCGTTACTGTTTCATTTCCTTTTGTTTAAAACCCAAAATAATAATAATAATGAAAGTACAAAAAATTGTTCCCTAATTGTAGAGAGAGAAACTTTACACTCCCAATGATTCTTTTTTCCAACCTCCTTTTCCCTCTCAATCCCTTCTATTTATAGACAGTTACAACCTCCACTGAGCTGATCTTATCCTATTCTACTTTGGCTGGACTCGGTTCCTCCCATTTCATCATGGGCTTCTGAAATGGCCTTATGGACCTGGGCCCATACGGCGCGAACTGGCTCCATCCCGTTTACTCACATCCGATCCATCCTATGCAATGTGGATCATTCCAAGCCCGGGTCGTTTTGGTATCCTCATCTGCCCCCAATAATCTCTCTCCTCATTAATGAGGGTGAGATTTTTGAAAGGACACGATCTTGGTCTGACGGCTTGGAGCAATAACTCGAGGAATCGAACGGCTGGTACGAGAACCCAGGTTTCGAGATCTGCAGCGCCACTTTTTGCCTTGACCTATAGAGTTCCATGTCGCTTTTACTTCTTCTCTTTATAAATTCTGATCTTTCTCTCCTTCGTCCTCTCTCTTACCCCTTTGCTTCTACTCCCTGTTGCTTTCCTGCACATTCCAGCGATCCTTTTTACTTTCTCCGGCAAGTTCTTCCGACGAGTCCTTCCTTTTTGATTTTTAGCTACTGTGCCGTTGCTGAGTTCATCTCAAACCTTCGAGGTTAGTTTCTCTTTTCTTTTTTAAACATCCTCTCCTTAAAGGCGCCTTTACTGCCTAGGATTCTTTCCCTTTTCATGGCTTCCCCTAACCTGAACACCATTCGATCCAAAAATTGTATTCCTCGCGACGTTTCTCTCAGAGTCTATCCAACAAACTTAGACGAGAGATCCGGTGAGGGTCTTCTTCCTGGGGAAGTTTTGTTCTCTGCCGTTCACCTGAACGTCATTAGGTTCCCCGTACACCCATTCTTTTGCTACATTTTCAACAAATTGGGGCTCTGCCCCCTGCAAGTTAACCCAAACTTTATTAGGGTCATTTCAGTTCTCCTGCTCTTGAATCGTGACAGGGGTCTCAATCTTGACGTTATTGACCTTCTCCTCTGCTATCGGATTAACAAGATCTCACAAAACGACTTGTACTATCACTTCTTTCCTATTGACAAACGGTCGATTTGCACTGATAAAAGCTCATTTGAAAAGGGTTGGAGGCGGAATTTAATTGTGGTTGGTGGGAATTGGCGGACTCCGCTCAGCCGTTCCTTCCCTATCCCCTCTTCCTTTGGAACCTGTTCTGTCTCTGGCTACAAGAAGCTGAAAAAATATCCTTCTGAATGCCACTGTGAAAGTTGTCTTCCCCGCTTTTGCACTTTTCTTTGTAGATGCCTTGAAATTCCCCATGATGAACTAGTTTATAGCGTCTGCAGGGCTAGGCTAGATACCTTGCAAGAAAACGTGCTAAACGATGTTCCTTCAGCTATTGATTTGCTTACATCTGATAATCTTTCTGACATCTCTCTTTTAGGGTCTACAATGGAGAATATTCAGATCCCATCGTTCAGCAGGAGGAGGCATCTTGCTCCTACCCCTTCTAAAGCTCCTGCCGTTATTCCACCACCTACACCAGCTTCCACATCTTCTCTTCCTGCTGTCTCTGCCCCGGAGCAGGTTGTGGTTGCCCCAGCTGCAACTCAAGTCTCAACCCGTTCTGCTGATGCGCCTTTAGAGCTCATCCATGTTGAGAACCCTGTTGCGGGCCATGCTGCTGAAGTCCGTCCTGCTGCCCCCGTCATTATACCATCAAGCATTTCGTCCGACACTTCTTCAGAAAGCACTCAGGATGCTGGAAATTCTGAGGACAACGGGGGGCCAGCTAATGCTGCTCTGTTGGAAAAGAGTTTGGAAAAAGGCCAATGCCTGAGGGCGGTCATGATCAGAGTGATATCCCTCCGACCCAAAGGATAAGGACGGCTTCCTTCAGGGTTACTGAACCATCGCCCCCTGCCCGGTTCTTTATTCCTGAAGGTGAGTCGGCCAGAACCTCTGGTCCAATTCCATCCGTTCTTCCATGGCAACCTTTGTTCAACCGTGAAGATGGATCAACCATTGGCCCCACTGACTCAATATATAAAGACCCCCTAACCTCGTTTGCTTTCTATAAGGGCCTCTGGACCCCCAAAGACCTTGAAATCCAGAACAAACTGTCCTTTGGTGAGATGTTCCAACGGCTCCCGGCCGCTGCTGTGAAGGTGACCCTTCTTCCACTGAACTGTGTTCCTTTTCAGTTATGATTCCTTTGTACTTGGTCTGATCTGAATTTCTTTTTCCTCATGCAGACTCTGTTCGGGATGTTCACCTTTCAGAAAACAGTTGAAACCCTGAATAAAAAACTCAAGTCTCTCTCTGTGGGCCTTAAAAGGTCTGTTGAAGCAGAGACTCTCCTTGAGGCCAGAGTTGATGAGCTGGAGTCAAAGCTTAGGGATTCTGAGAAGGAAGTTGCTGACTTAAGGGCAGAGAGAGACGGTCTGGAAAACGAGAGGGATTCTCTCATAGCTGAACGGGATTCCCTGAAGACCGAACAGGACTCTCTTCATGATGAGATTGATGTCTTAAAAACCGAGAAGAGTGTAGCTCTGACAGAAAGGGACTCTCTCAAAGCCGAAAAGGGGGACCTTCAGCGTTCATTCATTGCTGAACGGTTATCTTATGCGAATTCCAAAGAAAAACTTCTGAACGAACGGTCTTCTCTGATGAACATGATCAGCAGAGTCGAAGGGGGGATGAGGGCTCTCCTTGCTCGCTTTACCAGGACCAGTGCCATACGGTATGCTGAAGGGTACAGAGACGGTTTTGTTGACCGTTCTCCACCCGAAGGTGAATCAAGCTCTTGTGCTGGTCCTGATGAACTAGACGCTTCTCTGGACATCCACCCCCCAAACAACTATCAAAATCCACCATGCGACCCAGCCGAGAACATTTTTATTGAATGCATAGAGGTCACATCTTCAGGAATTATCCCACCTTTTCATCCTTTGAACATTCTTCCCCTTTCTACCATCGTACCCTCTTCCTCCGTCGCTGCCGAGAGACCTATGCCTGCTGCGGGGGTGATTCATCTCGACTCCCCTTCTAAGGATGACAGGGCAGATGGAGATCTCGATGGTCCAGAGGCAGATGGTGGCGAGAACGACAGGCCACAGTCTAGAGAAGACCAGAATTGAGACCCAATAGCATTTTTTTTTTTTTTTTTTTTTTTTTTTTTTTTGAATCTACATGTATGGTACTATGTACCTTTGAGCCTTTTTGGCTATGAATGATAATATTTTTGCTCAGCATCACTTTCCTCCATTGAGTTTTCTATTTTCAGCTTCGCGGTGTTTTTCTTACTCATTTTTGAGCAAGTGTTTGGCGTTCGGCTTTAAGTGCCAGCTGCCACTAACTTGCTGAATGCCTGGCGCTCGGCCTGAACGCCTCTTGCCACTTGGCTTTTCATTTTTCGAGCAAGTGTTTGGCGTTCGGCTTTAAGTGCCGGCTGCCACTAACTTGCTGAATGCCTGGCGCTCGGCCTGAACGCCTCTTGCCACTTGGCTTTTCATTTTTCGAGCAAGTGTTTGGCGTTCGGCTTTAAGTGCCGGCTGCCACTAACTTGCTGAATGCCTGGCGCTCGGCCTGAACGCCTCTTGCCACTTGGTTTTTCATTTTTCGAGCAAGTGTTTGGCGTTCGGCTTTAAGTGCCAGCTGCCACTAACTTGCTAAATGCCTAGCGCTCGGCCTAAACGCCTCTTGCCACTTGGCTTTTCATTTTTCGAGCAAGTGTTTGGCGTTCGGCTTTAAGTGCCAGCTGCCACTAACTTGCTGAATGCCTGGTGCTCGGCCTGAACGCCTCTTGCCACTTGGCTTTTCATTTTTCGAGCAAGTGTTTAGCGTTCGGCTTTAAGTGCCAGCTGCCACTAACTTGCTGAATGCCTAGCGCTCGGCCTGAACGCCTCTTGCCACTTGGCTTTTCATTTTTCGAGCAAGTGTTTGGCATTCGGCTTTAAGTGCCAGCTGCCACTAACTTGCTGAATGGGAAGAGTGTAGATTT